CTGTGGCAGCAAAGAGGCTTCTAGGGCCCTTATCACACTCTCCCTGGTAGCAGAGTTATTTGTGTACTGGCTTGTCGGCTCTGCCAGAACTGAACAGCCCTCCCTGTGTCAGAACATTGTCTGCCTGTTTACCCACCATTAGTGCACCTGCTTCTCAGGACAGCCCAGGAGCGGGAAGGAAGCAGGAAGGCAGGAAATGTCACCCCCATTTCACAGATTTGTGGAGTCTGAGCGATCACAGTGCAGCCTGCTTCATTCCCAGGTGGAGGGATCAAAACCCAAGGGAGGAAAGAGTCTTGAGCTGGGGCCAGGAAACTCGGGCTCAGAGGCTCGCTGGTGTGCTCAGAGCCACAGACAAGGAGGAGATGGTGCTTCTGGTGCTCCTGTCCCATCGTGGCTCAAAATTCCTTGGGCCTCTGCAGGTGGAAGGGTGCCTGGTGGTGTCTGGCAGGTCTGAGGGGGAGGGGTGGTGGATGGGGGTCTGGCCAAGTCAAGCTCCAGGCCTCTGGCTCCTAGGCAGACAGCAATTCCTCCAGCCTCCTGCTGCATTCATGGGTCCACTTTTCTGGCCATGATCCATATTTGTGGAGATTTTCAAGAGGTGCAGAGCAAGGAAGGAGGGAGCCACCAGGTGGCCATGACAAAGGGGAGACTCTTAAAGGACCATAACCCTTTTTCTGGTAACCCAAGAAACTGGAGATCTTAAAGTCAAAGGCTAATGAAAATTTCACCAAGTGGGCTCGCAGCTGGATCCCGCCTGACTGCTCTCCAGCCTTCCCCAGGGTGGAGAGGCTGCTGGCAGAGGGGACAGAGTGGACGCTAAAGCAAGCAGACCCTGCCTGAGTCCTGTGTGACCTCAGGGGAGTTTAGCATCCTCTCTGAGGCATGCTTGCCCTGGTCTGGAAAGTTGGGGTGATGTCTACCCCATAGGCTGGAGGTATTTACAAGGACTTAGTACAAAATAAAAAAAGACTTGGTAACTAGTACGGAATTGATAAAGGGAAGCCAACATCAGTGGTACTATCATTATTACTGTTATTATCTTCATTCTCCTGGCCAACACTCTGCTCTCCCTCCAGGGCCCGGGGAGAGCTCTTGCCAAATGTCCCTCAAGCATGAAGGCCTTGGGGTTGGAGGAGGGGGTGATGTTGCCCCTGCTGGAGACAGGGAAGTTTGTTTTTTAGTAGTCTTTCTCCCTCCCACTCTCAGATGAAAACAACAGTTTAGGATTAAAGTCCAGTTTAGTCCCTCACATTCCAGAAACCGACAGGGACGAACCCTGACATTCTCTCTTTCTGTCCCAGCCTTTCCATGCGTTCTCCCTACTGCAATTCTTTGCACCCTTCCTTCCCGATGTCAGCTCATCCAAGAAGCCTTCCCTGCCTGCTTCAGCTTAAAGCGCCCTTGCCCTGACTCCTCTCAT